TCTTCAGGACCTCACTGTGAAGTGTGGGGAACACCTCTCAACTCCTCTGTGTTTTAGAAGATGAATCTTCTGTTTCTGTAAGCTGGACTCACGAAGGCGTAAAGATAGAGGAATCTGAGAGAGTGAAGCAATCACAAAATGGAAATATTCAGTGTCTTATCATATGCAATGTTCAGCTGGCAGACCAGGAAGTATACAGCTGCATTGTGCACGGTGACTACAGAGAGAAGGTGACGTCAGCAGTACTAAATGCAGTACTATGACTTGCTTCATTTCATCTTCATTTTATGCAGCCATGCTAATTGAACTAATGAATATGTTAATTAAAATGTCTCTAGCATTTCCTTATGAAAGTAGACCAAGTCATCAGCCAAACTTGTCCTAAAAATTTAACTCTCCAGTCCAGATTCAGGAAGTTTAACTTTCAAATCTAGGTTTAGGAAATCAACATTTATTTCATATGTGCCGATGTTTCTATTATTTACCAAATGTACATCTAGAAAGTGAACCAAAGAAAGGTTTTAGTTTGTGATATACTTACTTGGTATTTATTATTGCACCTGCTACTGTGCTGAATTTAAATTATTTTAATAGTAAGAACTTAGCAATTCTTATCTACCCCTTCTTATCAGGTCTAGAGGTTATAGTTGTTTATAAACAGGCCACAAAAATAGAAAATCTGGTACTAAAATAATAAGGCTCTGTTTAAAGCAAAATTAGTAGTCTGTAGATACTTCTTGATAAATGATGCTGCTTCTATAGCCTTAAATTCTCCTGGCATTGTAGAATTTTCTCATGTCACCATTGTTCTTGATTCCCCACTCTCTCTGGAAGAGTACAGATAAACTTGTCTGGAAGAGGAATCACTTCTCTTATTCACAGCCTTTCCTCTTAGACACTAATAGAATGAGAAAAATCATTCTTCAAATGCTAGAAACTGGTGGTGTGTGCCTTTTGGCAAAAAGGCTTCCCTGAGTCCCACAGAATGAAGCTGGTAGAAGAAAGTCAGGCATTTCCAGGGGTTGTGGAAAGCTGTAGCCTCAAGTTTTTCCTTGATCTTGGCCTTATTATTTGTTGAGATATTAGAGATGAACAAAGGACAGCACAGTACAATGCTACTTATGTGCACAGCCATTTCTTCACTGAATTTTGAAAGTATGGTCATCCTTCCTCACAACAGAGAGAATTGGGAGTAATATGTCAATAATACCCACTCTCCAAAAATGGACTTTTTTCTTTCTTAATCTGCAATTTCATTCTACAGCTATTTCTGGTTCTGTTTTTATAGCCTACAAAGGGACCATCTCAATCATTGAGGTCTAGTTATATAAATTAGATGGGAAACTCCACCTTCCAGAGCACTGACCATTGAATTTCACTCCAACTTCCCATTAACACAGTAATCACACAAAATGATTGTTTATCTGGAGGTGTTGACTACAAGTCATATAGGTGATGGCTACGACAGTTTCTGCAGCAATATGTAATTGGGAGGTGTCTGTGTTGTGGAGGTGGGAGAAATATGGGTCTCTTGACTTGCTTCCTGAAGTGCCAGAGTTCAGCTTTTGAATGTCTTTATTTGTGGAGTGGATTTGAGCTGGGCATTTTTGCCCCAGGATTTCCAGTTCACTCAGTTCCAATTAATTATATTATTAAAGTGTTCTTGAAGCAAGAGCATAATTTTTAAAGTCCAGACAGTCTTATTTGTACTTATGAAATTTAAAAGATAAGGTGTTTGAAGAGTGAAGGATCAGCCATAGTTGTCTAATTATTTAGCATAAGGCCAGTATTTATATGTTCCTCTTTTATTTTGATCTAATAGTTTATACAGGCTACATAGCTGTCCACCAATCAGGTAGGAATGTAACCCCTGATAAGTCTGTTTGAACAGAGATTTTCTGTACATAATAAAGAAAAGACATGTCATACATTATTTATGGGACTAGCATGCTGCTTTTCCTTCTCATTCTAATGACATTCCTTCTTCTTGGCATTCACCATGTGTGTTTTATTCTGACAAACACAGCTAATTTATGTCTTTTCCTAACTGTATTCTTACCTTACAAAAGAACCAGAAACCAGAGCAGCTACAAAAATTACTCTTGGTTCAGACACTTTAAAGTATTAAAATACTCAGGGAATCACAAAGTAAAACAATATGTGAAGTAAAAAGAGAATCATAGAAGAAAACGTCAAGTTCGTCATTCACTTCATGCCAAAGACCACAGGAACTGAGCAAGAAGTTAAGTCTACTGACACAATGCCAAATGGACTGACAAACGGTGGTCCAAGGTGCCAGTCTTTCCCAGGAGGCCTGCCTCAGTGACCACAGTCTTTAAAGCTACATCTGTTCCTTGTATAATAAAACCAATTTTGAGTTAAGGAATCTTTGTTTCTCTCCTTGACGTGTAATTTAAAGTTTCAAAAGTGGTTCAAATGAAAGGACTGCTTACTAGCAAAAATGTTTCATTCTGCCGGAAAAACTGAGAATAGCCCTCAACTAAAAGTGGCAAGCGAGAAAATGCATGTTCCTAATAAATGTGATTTCACCTCTTAGCAAGTGTTCAGTCAATAGAATATTTTTAAATTGGAACATTCCTGTAATTTGTGGATTGCTTTTTTTGAATGCATGTGAAGGCATGGGGAATTATAGGAATAAAAATGGAAATTTCATAGAGAAGCTGAAATAAAAATGTTTGAATCTTTCCGTCAATGTTATCATGTACTTTATCAGCTAATTGATTTGTTGGCATGGACCTTGTTGTACTTGGTGGTGGGGGGAATGCAGTTTTATGTTTTTATAATAAAGAGAAAATTTCAATCATCTGAGTCATGAATTAATATAGAAAGCATATGCAAATAATCACCAAATCTTTGTTTTTTTTTTTTCATTTTAGCCCCTGAATCAATTTTACACGAGAGGATTGAGCAGCAGATTGAAATGGAGATGAAAGGTATTGTTATAATGAATGTGAGATTAAAGTAGAAATTCTGAAGGATTAATAGAATCCTTGAGCTGCCTTCTTCCTCTTAGTATTATTGAGAAAAATGACATAGATGTTCAAATATATCTCTTAGAGTATATATTCCTATGTCGCATGCCTGGTTCAGTATGCTGATGGTTACATGCATTCCACAGTAATTTGTTGTATGGTAATTTAAAATCTTGTATTAAAACTTTATCATCCATGTTCAATTTCATGATTGCAGCCATTTTCAAAAGTGTGTATTGTAAATAGTTGTCATCTTAATGCATGAAATCATAAAGTAAAAGTTTATTTTCAAAATCACAGTGAATTAAGACGGAACAATAGATAGTAACCTGTCATTTTCAGAATGCAATGTCATGAATGAATTATGATTGAAATGCTACTTTAAGATTTGTAAAAACATTACATTCCCATTCTTGGTTTACACTTCATGCACATATATCATTTTAACATTGATATGTCTCTTATACTGGCTTGCAGATAGCTGTCTCATGTGATCCTTATTGCCTGCTTTTCTTTGCATAACATTGTGACTTTATGGCTGTATTAGTTCGAATAAACGCCTTCTCATTTTTTGTTACCTAATTATTTAAGGTAATAGTTCTTGTATATATTTTTAAATAGCTAATTGTCAAAAATATAGTAATTTAATCTACAATCAAATGATCAGAAAGGGCGTTTATTCCACTCTCTGCAAGTCAGGTAAGACTTTCCTCTTAGCCATCAAAACAACAAAGCTTTCCCGCTCTCAAAACAAATATGCACAGGAATATGTTATTTTGAAATGCATTTGTGCTTGTTCAAGAAGAAATTTCAACAGTTTGAAGAAAAGACCAGACAACGAACGATTGTCGTGTCAGAATCTTTTAAACAGAGCATGGTGTTGCGTTTATTCGAACAAATATGGTGAGTGAATTTTTTTATGGATTTGTGAGAATCTGTAGCATGCACTTTATTTCATTTCCTACTTTGCAATTTCATTTATTTTCAACTTTTTCAAGTACTATGGAAAATAGTAAAATGCTTTATAATTTAATTTTTTTCAGAAGTATTCTACAAGGGGGAAGCTGAACATTCAGAAAGAGATACACGTAATGCCTTTTCAGATTCTGAAGACATAGATCACAGCTCCATGACTGCTAAAAGATATGCAAGTAGAATATCATCTACAAGCTCCTGGCCTGAATATTTCAAGCCTTCATTTACCCAAAAACTTATGTTTAAATATGTGTTAGAGGGCGAACCTGTTGTTTTTACATGTAGCTTAATTGCCTGTCCAACTCCAGAAATGACTTGGTTTCATAATAATCGGCCTATCCCAACAGGTCTACGTCGGGTTATAAAAACTGAGAGTGACGTACATCATCACTCTTCCAGATTAGAGGTAAAAAGGGTCCAAGACAGAGATTCTGGAAGTTATAGATTACTGGCAATCAATAGTGAAGGGTCTGCTGAATCAAGTGCATCATTGTTTGTTATCCAGAAAGGGCAAGATGAGAAGTACTTAGAATTTCTGAAAAAGGCAGAACAGACACGTGAAAACCTGGAGGCTCTAGTTGAAAGGAGAGAAGATAGGATAAAGGTTGACCTGAGGTTTACTGGCTCCCCCTTTAACAAAAAACAAGATGTAGAACAAAGGGGAATGATGAGAACTATTCACTTTGATACAATAAGTCCTGGCAAGAAAAAGGATTATGTGTATGATGAAGAATATTTAGAAAGTACATCTGACATCAGAGGATGGCTTAGTGTAGGTGAAAGTTTCCTGGATGAGGAGACCAAAATGAAGTTGAAACGTTTACGGGAGGCTAGAAAAATGTTAATAGAGAAAAAGAAATTATCACTCCTAGATATGTCATCTGAAATAAGCTCAAGGACTTTGAGAAGTGAAGTTGATGACAAAGGTATTTCACTCTCTAGAGAGGAAATGAAAGGCATATCTTTGTCTGATCTAGCTGAAAACAAGGGTAAGATAGACAATTCAACTAAGGGTGTTATCCAAAGTCCATATGCTCTTCCTAGTCAAATAGATCAAAATGTAGAATCTAGAGAACCTCCCACAAGCTTTCAAGCTACTATTGATGAAGAAATTCTCCAGACTGAAATTAGACTGAGCCAAGAGACATTTCTAGAGGAAAATCTACCAAAAGACTATGTATCTGATAGTTCTCTGATAAATGAAAATATGCAAGCAAGGGGACAGTTTGAAGAAATTATAAATAGCACTGCAATTGAAGAGTCAGCTAAATATATCACAAATGTACGTAAGAACAAAGAAATATACGAGACTCCTGAAAAAGAGTCTCATGTTTTTATACCATGTGTCAGTGAGTCTTTGGACGCACTCGTAAATATTAAAGAAAGTGAAGAAATACAGAGAGAAAGACCATTACAGGGTGACTTGAAAGAATTGCAACACTCTGCTTCCACTAAAGTCGAAGAATTCAAAACTGAACAAGAGGAGCAAGCAAGATATTTGGAAAATTCCTTCCAAAAACATCCACACTGTTGCCCACCTTCATTTCTTCAGGATATTGAATCTCAAGTCGTTTATGAAGGTAACAGTTGTAAATTTGTATGTCACTTTCAAGGCTATCCTCAACCCATAGTGACGTGGTATAACAATGATGTACCAATCCCACGGAATCAAGGCTTTATCACACAAACTTTAGAAAACTATTCTACATTAACTTTTTCTTCTGTTCAGCCTCAAAATGAAGGTTGTGTTACCTGCGTGCTGTTTAACCAGTATGGAACAGTAAAAACAACTGGTGTCCTCAGAGTAATAGCAAAACAAAAGTATGATGTCCAAACACACAAAGTCCCAGTGTTCCATGGCTACACGGATGAGGAGGAAGAGCTGGCTTTGGTGTTTGACCATGGAAAGGGTCTCCATTCATCTTTGAGTCAAGAAGACCAAGCAAATCTCCATCTGTTAAAAACTAACCCATCAAGTTCTCCTTCTGCAGACCCAGAACTACTTTCCTTCCCTGTGGAAATTCAGATAACAGCAGCCACTCCAACCCCAGAACAGGATAAAGAGTCAAGAGAAATATTTGAGCTGGAACCTAAAGCAACACCTCAAGATCAAGCTACTCAGTCACCAAAACACAAATTCATATTCTCAAGTGATATTACTAATGAGCCACCAAAAATGATACAAGAAATGCCAAAGCATGCCAGGTGTGCAGAAGGGGATTCTATAATACTTGAATGTTTAATATCTGGTGAACCTCAGCCAGTTGTAACATGGTTTCAAAATGGAGTCCTTTTAAAGCAGAGCCACAGGTTCCAATATGAAGAGGTTAATTGTAGCCACAGATTATATATTAGTGATGCTAATTCTGAAGATTCTGGAATATATAAATGTGTTGCTGAAAACAGTTCAGGCACAGTTGAAAGTGTTTTAGATCTAACCATAGAACCTGTCACTTACAGGGAATATAGTCAGTTTGAAAATATTGGTGTAACTTATGAACAAAACCCCAAAGATCAACAAGAGCGAACTCAGAGAGAATCTGTAAGGGCAGAGTTTTATGATTATCCAGCTGGTCCTTTTATTCCCCAAGCAAATGTAAAAGAATATTCTGTAAGGGAATATTTTCAAAGCCTTGAGACAATTGAGCAGGTAGACCAGAAATATCAGGTACATGACATAACTTCTAGAGAAAGAGTCCCCAGATTTATGCAGGGTGCTTCTAGACCCACAAAAACCAATAAACCTCTGAGGGCTGAACTCATACAATGTCAACACCAAAGGAAAGAGGAACATACAAACGAAAAATCAAAGCTACACCAAGCAGAAGGTCCTATTTATCCATTTGTTGATTATTTTGGTGAACTTAATATTACAAAAGAGGAAAGACAAGATTTTGGAAAACGTAGTGTATCAGAATGGGAAAATGTACAAGAATGTGCCCAAAGTGACTATTTCCTGAATCTCCACTCTGAGGGAACTTCTGACAAAATTCAAAATACAAAAGACTCATCTGTTCTTGTATATGAAGAACCCTTTGCTGAAGAGAGATACTGTCCCGGAAAAAAGGTTAAACACAGAATCATTGCATTTGAAAAGTTGCAACATGTAGAAAAAGGAGTTCTAGAAAAAAGACCTACCAAGAAATCATTCGTTAACCCTCTTCAAAGGAAGCTGGATGACACAGACCTTTCATTAAAGCAAAGAGAATCAGGATCAAGTAATCTAAGTGCAAATACACATCAGGCAGAGAAAATGTCTTCAAATACAGAGCTAGATTTATCTAACATTGTAATGAACTTAAAACTACTTTCCTCTCAAACCCACAAAGAATTTGAAGTACAAGAGAGGGAACAACAGAAAGAAATAGTTCCAATAGATCCTTCTGCATTTTCTGAAAGAGTTGAACATGAAGCACCTATTACATTTGACCTAAAGCAGTTTCACTCACAAATAGAAAATGCAGATGAATTCCAAGAATTAGATAGTGGCCAACCAGAAGAAACTGATTTTAAAATCCAACATCCTGCCTCAGAAATGACTGATACTGATTATATTGTATTTGATCTAAAACAAATACATTCTCTTAGAGGAGATCCAGACAAGGAGATCCAAGGGCAAGAAATTGGGCGACAGCAGGAAACATATTATGAAGAAGAAATTACTAGCCTTGAAACTTTACAACCTGCCCAGGAACAAAATACAGCAATTTTAAAAACTGATCATTCTCTTAAATCTGAATCAATCCATAGTGAAACACAAGCCTTATTCTCCTCTGATATAGGAGAAACTGATATTTCTGAGAAAAACAGTTCTCTAGAAAATGTAGATAGTAGTTTCATCTCACATTTGAGAAAAGCAGCAAGAGAAGAAAAGCTTTTAGAGGCTTGTGAAATGGTAGAAGAATTCTCTTTCAGACCTGAATTGGCATCATTCCCAAAGCAGGATGGCGAGACACTGGGATGTACAAGTGGAACTTTGGAAGACCAAAGTGGTGATGTTCAGGAAGAAGACACGCTCCACAGACCACTCTCTCTGAGTCAGTGCTTGCCTTTCTTGATGACTGGAGAACAACAGAATCCAAATGAACAAATAAGTGAAAAAATAGGTGCTTCAGGAGAAGAAACATGTTATGAAGAATTTCAAGTTCAAAATGAAACCACACAGAGAGAAAAGATAGAAACTTGTTTTTCTGAAACTCTTCCTAAACCTGAGGAGGTACATACAAGTGGAATAATGGAATCCAAGACCTCTCTAACACAGTATTTACTAGCTGCTGGAAAGCATGAGGTGCCTGAAACTAAAGACACCAAACACAAGCCAGAGCTTGTCCAGAGCAATTTGGTCACTTTCATGGAGGTTGAAGAAGTAACTTTCAACACTGTGTATGAATATTACAACCAAAAACAGGAATCCCTAGCTCGTCCATATTCTCCAGAATCTGATATTTCAATTGATGTGGGAAGTACAACCAGTGAAGAAATTTCTGCGTTAGATCAGTTTTATACCCCACCATCATCTGTTGAACATTTTGAATCTCCGAAGTCTACTGATATGTATTTTAATCCTTCAGATACAACTAAGCAATCCTCAGCAAATTCAGGAGGTGAGACTGTTGAAAGATACTGTACACCTTCAGAGGAAGTTGCTGAAAGATATTCAACATCTTCTGATGGTGAAATAGCAGAAAGATACTCCACACCCCCAGGGGAGGCTCTAGAGAGATACTCCACACCCCCAGGGGAGGCTCTAGAGAGATACTCCACACCCCCAGGGGAGGCTCTAGAGAGATACTCCACACCCCCAGGGGAGGCTCTAGAGAGATACTCCACACCGCCAGGGGAGGCTCTAGAGAGATACTCTACACCCCCAGGGGAAACTCTAGACAGATATTCTACACCTCCAGGAGAGACTCTTGAGAGATACTCCACACCTTCAGGGGAGGCCCTAGAGAGATTTTCTACAGCCCCAGGGGAGATGCCAAAGAGAGATTTTATTCCTACTAGAGGACCAAACCCCACCAGAAATGTAACAACATACCCATCAAAAATAGAAAGGGAGGACAGTACACAAAATGAGCATTTCCACACACCTACAGAAGACAAAAGTTCAGCTTATGAAATATGGCGTTCAGATTCATTTGGCACACCCAATGAAGCCATTGAACCAAAAGACAATGAAATGCCTCCATCTTTTATCGAACCTCTGACCAAAAGGAAGATATATGAAAACACAACATTAGGTTTCATTGTTGAAGTTGAGGGTCTTCCAACTCCTGGTGTAAAATGGTATCGAAATAAATCTTTGCTAGAACCACATGAAAGAATCAAAATGGAAAGGGTGGGTAATGTGTGTTCTTTGGAAATTACTAACATTCAAAAAGGAGAGGAAGGAGAGTACATGTGCCATGCTGTAAATATCATAGGGGAAGCAAAGAGCTTTGCAAAGGTGGACATCATACCCCAAGAAGAAAGAGCAGTCGCACTCCCTCCTCCAGTCACACATCAGCATGTCATGGAATTTGACTTGGAAAATACCACCTCATCAAGAACACCTTCTCCTCAAGAAATTGTCCTCGAAGTTGAATTAAGTGAAAAAGATGTTAAAGAATTTGAGAAGCAAGTAAAAATAGTCACAGTTCCTGAATTTACTCCTGATCATAAAAGCATGATTGTGAGTCTAGATGTTCTTCCATTAAATTTAGTAGACCCAAATGTGGAGGCAAAGGGGAAAGAAGACAGAGATTTAAAAATTGACTTAGAAGTATTTGAAATGCCTCCTCGCTTTGTAACACCTATTTGTGATTTTAAAATTCCAGAAAATTCAGATGCTATATTCAAATGTTCAGTCATAGGCATCCCCACGCCTACAGTTAAATGGTATAAAGAATATATGTGTATTGAGCCAGATGACATGAAATATGTCATTAGTGACGAGAAGGGAAGTCACACCCTGAAAATTCGAAATGTCTGTCCTTCTGACAGTGCAACGTACAGATGCAGAGCTGTGAATTGTGTAGGAGAGGCTATCTGCCGGGGCTTCCTCACCATGGGAGATTCAGAAGAATTTTCTATGATAACACAGAAGAGTAAAGTGACTTTAAGCAGTTTGAAGGAAGAATTAGTCTTAAGGAGCAAATATGCAGATAGCTTTTTTGAATTTCAGGTGGTGGAAGGGCCCCCCAGGTTTATCAAAGGTCTTTCTGACTGTCACGCACCATTAGGCACAGCAGCGTATTTCCAGTGTTTGGTTCGTGGCTCCCCAAGACCCACAGTTCATTGGTACAAAGATGGAAAGTTGGCCGAAGGAGCAAGGTTCAGTGCTGAGGAAAGTGGCATAGGATTCCACAACCTATTTATAACAAGTTTAGTAAAAAGTGATGAAGGAGAGTACAGATGTGTAGCTACAAACAACTCGGGAATGGCTGAGAGCTGTGCAACTCTCTCCTTAACTTAAAGGGCGATGCTTCAGGGCCTCACTGATTATTAGAATTTGAGTGTTTTCATATTTTTCAAAGTATATGGATCTAATAAATTTCTAAATATGTCTACTCTGAGTCGGTACTCTGAAGACCCCTGGGGAAGTTGTCTATGTGGAAAGCTCATCTTTGTAATACATGTAAATATGCTGTTTATCTAAACTGTGGAGTCATCACTTGTGCCAAGTAAGCTGTGTATCATCAAGCACAATTAAATATCTCCTTGGTTACCTAATTGTTTGTATTTCTACTTTATCTTAATTCCTCCTCTACAGAGTGTTTCAGCTGAATGCATTTTCTTTTAGCAAATAAGCTATGTATGCAAAGGTAGAATGTAATACTGAAGACCATGTCAGATGTCCACACAGATACATCGGTAAGAGAAAAATCTCTCTGGTTCCATTGTAAGTCATTTTTGGAATTGTAATAATTTTGCATTCAAACCAATGTTTTTTTACACAGACTTAGAGTAGGTAAAACAAACAACAAAAGCCAGCTATGCACAAATGTTAACTAACTTTATAATTTGTTTTATATTGCAACCTTAATATATTAACCTTCATCTCTTAAAAATATTTCCTTATTAATGTCCCTCTTCTCAAGTGATTTTTCACTAATTTGAAAGGACCAGTTGCAATCTTTTTGTGCACACAGTTCTTCTAGACATTTAAAGAATATGCAGATAGTCTTCATTTGCACACTTGGAAATATTTTATTTTCTCAATTTTTGAGATGAAATCAAAAGAATAGTACAGAATTGATTTAATATCAATCCTGGGGGGAAGAAATTACCATGTTTCATTTCCATATAGATTTTCAGCTGCATTCTGATTTCAGGATCTTTAAAATTAGAAACAATGTATGCACATGTAAATAACTGAATAAAAAATTAGTATGTATCCAAAAAATATTTTTAAAAATTAGAAAAATAAGATGAGACAGTTTTAGAATTAAGATAATATGGTAATTTGTGTTTCAGATTATAGCTAAATAACAAGAAAATATGCTGTCCTGTTATTTTACTAAATTTTGTATTTAAAACTAACTTGAAATTAATAAGCATTGAAATTTAAGATGTTTATATATATATTTGTGAAGTGAGTCTTTAATCTGGTTTTCCAAAATTAAAATTATAATAAATTCACAAACTTCTCAGCATTTTACCTATGAACCAATGTAGATCTTCTCATGTAAGATTTAATAAGCATGAAGAAATTCAGTTTTCTTATCTAAAATGAATGGCTGGAACAAAAGACCACAGAGGTGATATTCAATAATAAAGATTGAATATCCTTATTGAATATCCTTGACAAAATATTCTTTGTCATCCCAGTGGAAACAACTCTTCATATAAGTTAGAATAAATTTTAGTTTTGCAACAGATGAAGAGAGAAATAACACTAATGAAATTGTGACTCTAACCTCCTTCTGGTTCTAAATGTACTTCCCATTACCTAGTGGCTTTATTTGTCACCTGCACTATGCAACAGTTAAGTACCATGACTGAATTAATTTTAAATATCTGATTATGCTTATTATGTTTCTTTCACCTATTAACTTTTTACTACTGCAATAGGAATTCCCTAACAGCTGTCCAAATTAAGAGCAATCAGGAGACTATTCAGAAAATAGGCAGAGCAGTCAGGCTTCCCCTGCCTCCCACCGATGAAAATTTTTAAATTTACTTTTGTTGTATGAGCATAACTCACGAAGAGACAGATACACCATTGTGAAACAGTCATGTCTGTTTTAACCAGTAAGCACACAATATTTTTGATAATAATTAGATATGTGATATATATATATTACATTATAAATAACTGAAATAAAACTAATTCTATGGCTTGGGGATTTAAGGCTTTAAGCTACTTTTAGCCACATATGCATGTTAAAATTAATTAGGAATTCAGGTCATGACAAGCATGATAACCACACTTTACCCACATATTGCATAGCACAGGAACAGTTCAAAGCCTGTTTCTTGAAAAAAGAAGTGAAAGGAAGGAAAGGAGGGAAGGAGAGAGGAAAATGTTTTAATGTCTTATTGGATTTTCAAGGACTAAATGATATACTTTTATTCACATAAAAAAGAACTTCATAGGATTTTGCTCATTAGAATTCTGTTAGCCTCAACTGCAAATGCTGAATAACAATGACTTAAAAAATAAGCCTTGCCCACACTTGGATTACTTATTAATTGTTGTAGATAATTAAATGGAATTTTTATTTTCTAACTTAATACCACATAACTTAAAAGCCTGAAATATTTCCCTAATGCTGGATAAAGAATTCATTGTAATACACATAGTCAAATTTAGACATAATTTTTAGCTGCTACTGCTTCATGTACTTTTAACTATCCATGTTTCAGTACATTTAAATTTTACTAATGATCTTTTTATGGTTAGTACACCATGTTTTGAAGTAGGGAAAAACCTTTAAAAATATTTCAATATATCAGTGAGTCAGGGTATTTAAACTATATTCACACTCATTCCCTCTATAGATTTTTGGGGAGCTCCAAAAAAGGAAAGCTCATATGAGTGATAGATTATGTATAAAGTGAAGTGACTACCCTTAGTGTATGAAATTAATCAATTTTATGGCTTTCTAGTTGCAATAGTAAATAACCGAGTATATATTCTATGTGCTACAGACAAGTTTTACCAGCATATTTATAGCCAACAGACACAAGTCCTGTCTTCTAATGCTTCCACAGTAAAAGAGAAAGGAATTAAGGCACATGAATATTCCATGAAAAGCAAGTGAAGTAATAAAATAATAAAAATGCTTTTCAGTAAGGCAATAAATTACTAGTGACAGGGCTGTGATATGTATGTAACAGATACAATAAAATATCTAATTCCTTATCAAATTACAGTCTTTCATCCTGTCATCCATGATACTGTTTAAAGAATATCTACCATTCATGCTTTGTTTCTGTTCAATAATAGTGTACAGATTTCCTAACACAATAAACTACAATCAGATTTTTAATATTGGTGTCATTTTCTCTTATTTCCTATTCTTCTATTTTCTTAATTAATATTGTATTATAAAAACTTTGTCAAAGTCATGTAACAATTTTCACAGGCAAAGGAAGACCTGACTTTCTCATAATCACCGACAGTGTTTCCCAAGCAAATCTAAGTTGAACCTTTCCCATAGACCATTAATTTTAGTAATGGCATCAATTTAGAGACAACATCTAAAACATAGCTTGTTTTCAGTCTTTAACAATGAAGATCTTTTTTTTTTTTCAAGAAAATCATACATGGCAATTCTGGATCTTTTTATTTGGTTTGAGTAATCCTGGATTCTTTTATCAGAAATAGCAATTTTTCAAACTTTAGAGCTAGAATTATATCAAGGAAAAATCATACGAATATCTTTCACATGTATAAACTCTAACAAATGAAGTGGATCAAAACTCGCATTTGTACAGTGCCTACAATTGTGTAATTTCTATAATCTAAAAATTTTTAGAAATGTGCTAAAACTAATCTCAAAGTAATCTAGCAATTCCAGCAAAAAACAGGTTGTCAATTGCTATCTCTTTGATTCATATCTTTTGTGAAACAAAATTTTATGGTAAAATAATAATCATTTTTCTCCATACAGAGATTTCTAGTTTTCTGTCTACCGAGGAAGAAGGACTTCACACCTATAGTTCTGACATTCAGTTATATAATATAAGTGAAACACTTGACCTTTTATCTGACCCTCAAGTTCATTCAAGTAAATTTGGTTCTAAAAAGGAAGGCAGCATCCCAATTTTCATCAAAGAAGTGTCAAATGCCGAAACAAACATTGGGGATGTTACCAAACTGTCTGTTACAGCCACTGGCATTCCCAAGCCTAAAATCCAGTGGTTTTTCAATGGGGTATTGTTAACCCCTTCTGCTGACTACAAATTTGTTTTTGATGGTGATAATCATAGTCTGATCATTCTGTTCACCAAATTTGAGGATGAGGGAGAGTACACATGTATGGCCAGTAATGAATATGGAAAGTCAGTATGCAGTGCCTATTTAAAAATAAATCCCAAAGGAGATGAACACGAAGAGACAGAAACAGAATCAACACTGGAGAAATTTCTGGAAAAGCTGGAAGGGTCCTGTCCCCCTTATTTTCTCAAGGAGTTAAAACCAGTCCACTGTGCTCCAGGGCTCCCTGCTGTCTTTGAGTACCTCGTGCGTGGAGAGCCTTTCCCCACTGTTTTGTGGTTCAAAGAAAACAGGCAACTTTGCACTAATGTTTATTATACCATCATTCATAATTCTGATGGTTCTGGGACATTCATTGTCAATGACCCTCAGAGAGAAGACAGTGGCCTCTACATCTGTAAAGCAGAGAATGTGTGGGGTCAGTCCACCTGTGCTGCAGAGCTGCTTGTTCTTCTGGAAGACACAGACATGACTGCTGCCCCCTGCAAAGCAGAGTCCACACCAGAGGCTCCTGGAGGTTTTCCAGAGATGTTGTTAAAGGACCATGCAGTTGAGAAATTGGAGTCAGAGCAGGAAGTTTCAGCTTTTGTAAAGGACACCATTTCAAAACCTGCTTTAATTATGGAAGAAAAACAGCAGCTTTCTTCTGAGCATGTTGTTAAAAGCAGTGAGCTGACCAGTAAAATTACTTCAGTGATTCAGCAATTGCAATCCTCCATCATGTTGGAGGAGGTCTCTCCCACTCCTGAGAGCACCAGTGAACTTCCTTCCACTGACAACACTATTCATGTACAGCCTATCAAGGAATCACCTCCCAATGTACAGTTACAGATTGTGCAGTCCCAGAAAACCCTCTCCAAAGAAGATACTTTAATATTTCCAGAGCCTGAAAACATCTTCCCAAGTGCCTTGTCCATAGAACAAATAAATTCAGTTAGAGTTGAGTCTCAGGCAACCCTATTAGCTGAACCTGAACGGAGTTATCCACATTCTTCAACAGAACCTCCAGCACATTTATATCCATCCTCTGTGACTGAAGAAATACTTTTGCTGAAAGAAAAGACAGTCTCTGAAGTAGACAAAGAGCAAAGAGCAACTCTTCAAAAGCAAGAGGCACAAAGTGCTCTCCTCCTGAGTCATAGCTTAGCTGAGGGACACGTGGATAGTTTTCAGGGTTCTGATATTGAGCTCTCTAGGGTAAATTATGAGCCCCAGATCCCTTCAGAACACACATGCACAGAAGAAGGCAAGATCCTGATGGAAAGTGTGGATCAGCTAAGAAGTGCAGAGCAAGATTTCGCAGTCAGGATTAAGGAAAGCAAGTCCTTACATTTCCCACTAGCACTTGAGGAAGAGCAGGTTCTGCTCAAGGAGGAGCATTCTGATGTCACAGCCATGCCCCCAAACCAAATCACTGAGTATAAAAAAGAGCCCAAGGCAATAAAAGGAGTACAAGAGGTCCAAAGAAGTGACCTTCTTTCTAAGGAAAGTTTGCTTCCTGGTATTCCAGAGGAGCAACGATTAAAGCTGAAAACTCAGGTCCGCAGGGCTTTGCAAGCCGCAGTGGCCAGTAAGCAGCCAAGTCTTCTCTTTGAGTGGTTAAGGAACATTGAAAATGTGGAGGTCAAGGCCATAAACCTCACCCAAGAGCCCAAACACATCCTGTGCACCTACCTTGTAACTTCAGCAAAGTCTCTAACAGAAGAATTAACCATCACTATTGAAGATATTGATCCTCAAATGGCTAACCTGAAAACTGAACTTCAGGATGCTTTGTGTTCTATCATATGTGAAGAAATAAACATTCTAACAGCTGAGGATCCTAGAATTCAGAAAGGAAGCTTGATAGGGGTACAGGAAGAAGTGGATTGTTTTTCAGAACCACAGAAGGTTGAAGCAATCACTGAACCAGAAGTCAAATCTCATTACCTTGTCTCCAAAGAAGAGGTCAGTTGGTTTAACGTGGAAAGTCAGGTCAAAGATGTCGGTACCACTACTACCACTGATGAGGTTGCTTCTGCTGCTGTCTCTGATGAAACACAAGATGAGACTGTAAAACCCTCTGAAGGCGGTATGGAGAAAGCTGGTATGGTAAAGACACAAGAAGCTGAGGAAAGCTTACTTGAAGAGCACCGTCCTGTTATACTTACACCCTTAGTGGACACCGTTTCTGAGGAAGGCGATGTTGTATACTTCACATCATACATAACGAATGCTAAGGACGTGAATTGGTATTTTGAAGGTAAACTGGTGCCTTCAGATAAAAAGTTCAAGTGTTTACAAGATCAAAATACATATACACTAGTAATCGACATGGTAAATGCAGAAGAACACCAAGGAGACTATGTCTGTGAGGCCTCAAATGACAGTGGGAAAACCACAACTTCGGCAAAGCTCACTGTAGGAAAAAGAGGTTGGAAATTAAGGATTGAGTGGCTCTAGTTCTAATACCCACTGAATTATGATTTAGGTTTCTTCACTCAATTTCCACTTATCTGCCACTTCCAGAATGCAAGTTATTTAGAGTAAGAATGAAATCACAGACATAATCATGGTTATTATATTTTCTCTTACTGCCTTGTTGGGTAGTACATTACCTTATCTACTACTTATGTTTTAAAACATACTTCCATATGTTTTATGATACAATAAATATGCTTTTAGTTACTTTATGTGAAAATACATTAATAATATGTATTAAAAAGCTATTAGTGAACACCTAGCCAACTCTGAAATCACCAGTCTCATCTCTAAATTCAAAATAACCATGATTAGTTGTCCATTTGAGGTTTTTATTTTCGATTTATTTTTTGCTATCGTTTCACTTCATCACTTTCCTCCCTATATCGTACTTTTTCACATTATTTTCCGTGTTCCTAGTAAGCATGGTACATTTAAATGGTATGTCATGCTGCTATGCATGTACACCCATAGCATCACATTTTAATAATTTTCTTCGCAATTCACTGCAAAATAATAATCGAATATTGTGAGAGCTGCTTATTGCCTTGCTTTGCCTTCAGTGATCTTCTTCATTTTCCAGTCACTTGTCGTGAACTGCTGTAATCCATCTTACCGATTTCAATTGTTTCACTTTCATTAACAGCAATAAAAGTTAGAAGAAAAAGAGAAATGCAGGATGCCTGATAAGGAGGCATGCTAATGGACTCTGCTTTCCTTCACAGCTGCCCCAGTGATCAAGAGGAGAATCGAGCCCCTGGAGGTAGCCCTGGGCCACCTCGCCAAATTCACCTGTGAGATACAAAGTGCTCCCAATGTCAGGTTCCAGTGGTTCAAAGCTGGCAGGGAAATTTATGAGAGTGACAAGTGTTCTATTCGATCTGCAAATTATGTGTCCAGCCTGGAAATCCTGAGAACCCAGGTTGTTGACTGTGGGGAGTACACCTGCAAAGCTTCCAATGAGTATGGCAGTGTCAGCTGTACAGCCACACTAACAGTGACAGGTAAATGCTACACAGTGACATATTCATTTTGTTGCTTATGTTGCTTTCCATATAGGTGTGGAAAATGTTACCCACTGGAGATACCAGCAACCACAATGGTAACATGGTGACCAGAGACTGCAGAAACTGTGGGGGACAAGACATCATTATTTATAATCAGATTTCTGTCAGCAGCCAAATTTAAAATAGCTTATTATTTGTGAGAACAATGTTAAATCATCAAATGAGCTTGGGTTGGCCTTCAATAGAAAACATTTGAGGATAGTCTGATGCTACTAAAAAATAAGTGGTATCTTAATGTATTGACTAATTTGAAACTAAATAACCGATTAGGAACAGAATTACAAACTGAAAAAAAAAAGCCTGCCTGTAAGACTAAAATTAAATCCTGATGTAACATGAGGAGTTAGCTAGTATATCACAAACAAGGATTCTCAACATAGACTTTATTCCTACTATAAAAAGCAAGAGTAACTAACACAAATAATTCTGTTCTCAATTTCCTAATTGACACACAGGGTGACTTTCAAATAGTTAACACTCTCACATGCTCGAATCCCCTCATTAGCAAAAACATTAGTAGCTGGCTCTTTTTCTCCTCTCTCTCACTTTTTTCCTCTCCAGAGAAAATGTGGAGTATGAACTGTGGTTTGAGGATGGGGTAGAAGAGCCATCAAGCCATGCACTGACTGTTGCAAGGAGACTGTCCCTGCATCTTTTTCAATGAAAGTGTCAGGGGGAAGGACAGATGCAGGACATCCCCTTGACATGAAAAAGTCAGGGTTCTCTGAAGCTTCCACTTCTCTGCATTCCTTTTACATAGCAAAAAAATCTCTGAGATTCCAAAAAACCCAGCCCATAATGGCCCAACTGGTACTTTTTACACTGTAGTCAAAATGTCTCTGTATAACTGAGTATGTGGTATTCTTCATGACATTTTTGGATGTTTCTTTACCCAAATTAGGCCAGTTCAGTAAGGGGATTGAGTCAAACTTCAAATAGTAATAGAAGGATGTTTTGTTTTGTATTTTTTAATTAGCAAGAGCTGTCCCTAAAAGGCTTGCTTCTGATGCAGAATGGGAATTGGAAATTACTATTAAATATTTTTATAAGTTTAAAATGGCCTAAGGAATGCATTCAAAGTTATGCCATTTAAGGATCTCCTGGCATTTAACAAGAGGGTTAGGAAGACTTTGTAAAACTCCTTCGATCTTCTTATCACATAATATCCCTGTTCTTCAGAAGTCAAGTACATTTTCTTTATCTTCCTTACATACTCTTCTGATTTGCAGAGTTAAAGTATCAACTGAATTGCTTATCAAATAATTCAAACTATTAATCTGTTATAATGGACAAAGCTTTAGCAATGTTGCTTCACAGAGGAACATTTGCTCTTTTCTTTGATAGAAACAATTAAAGTGGTGTCTCACTCCTTTTATAAAGAACACTCTCATCCTTTTCCTTTGACGAATCTTTTGGTCTTATTAATGGATTTCTCTAGTTTAAATAATGTCTCGTGTCCATATAAAGACATAACTTCTCTCTGTCTTGGACTGTGTAATTACAGTAAGAGCTTGGATGGGACTACATATAATGCTGGAACGTTTTCTTTTGCAGAGGCGTATCCACCAACCTTTCTCTCCAGACCTAAGTCCCTTACGACTTTTGTGGGTAAGGCAGCCAAGTTCCTCTGCACAGTGTCAGGGACTCCTGTGATTGAAACCATTTGGCAGAAAGATGGTGCTGCCCTGTCACCTTCACCTAACTGCAGGATTTCAGTTGCAGAGAACAAACACAGTATAGAACTCTCAAACCTTACCATTCAGGACAGGGGAGTATACTCTTGTAAGGCTTCCAACAAGTTTGGAGCAGATACCTGCCAAGCAGAGTTGATCATCATTGACAAACCACATTTCATTAAAGAATTAGAACCTGTACAGTCAGCCATCAATAAGAAGGTCCACCTTGAGTGCCAAGTAGATGAAGACAGGAAAGTCACAGTCACATGGAACAAAGACGGGCAAAAACTGCCCCCTGGGAAAGATTATAAGATCTATTTTGAAGATAAAATAGCATCACTAGAGATTCCTCTGGCCAAATTGAGAGATTCTGGAACCTATGTATGCACAGCTTCCAATGAAGCTGGGAGCAGCTCCTCTTCAGCCACAGTCACTGTCAGAGGTAAGAATCCTAGGAATCCATTTGTCACTTCCTTCTCTGAAAGAAAGCCTCAGTAGAAAAATTATTAACAGTGATTTGTTATTAAAATAATTCCATTCAACAAACATTTGGATTTGGGAAAGTCCTGGCATTGTTTGGTTGTATTTTTTAAACCTTCTTCAGAATTTACTTACTTTTGTTCTTTGAAAATTATGTCTGCCATTAACAAAGCTTGCTTGAAATTTCTTCCAAGAACTTCATTTCTAGGCAATTGTTAACCATCTTTTATAAATTTCTCTTTGCATAGATATAGTTTGTTTGCTTATTGTTTTTAATCAAGACACTGGGAAGGTGTTTTAGAATTATGGAAAGCTAGTGAATATACCACTGCTTTTTCAGAATTTCATGAAGCTGTTTTCCATGTGCTATGTGTTTTTGTTGTATGTGTCTGCTTTTCTTTTGTGGAGATTATGTTTCAATATCTCTTCTGTTTTCTTTTCTTTTTTTTTTTGTACACTTCATATAGAGCCACCATCCTTCGTGAAGAAGGTGGATCCCTCTTATTTAATGCTCCCAAGTGAATCTGCACGCCTCCATTGCAAGCTGAAAGGCTCACCTGTGATTCAGGTCACTTGGTTCAAAAATAACAAAGAACTTAGTGAAAGTAACACAGTCCGAATGTCTTTTGTCAATTCGGAGGCTATCCTTGACATCACAGATGTAAAAGTTGAAGACAGTGGAACTTACTCGTGTGAAGCAGTGAATGATGTGGGCAGTGACAGCTGCAGTACTGAGATAGTTATCAAAGGTTTGTTTATGAGTTATAGCCCCTTCTGTTTCTCAGAAAAGATGTTCTTTTTTAATTGCTGGTAACACATTGCTTACACAATGCTTTTGTGCTTTTGTAGAGCCTCCTTCTTTCATCAAAACTCTTGAGCCTGCAGACATAGTGAAAGGAACAAATGCCCGGCTTCAGTGTGAAATTTCAGGCACTGGACCATTTGAAATTAGCTGGTTCAAAGATAAGAAGCAAATTCGAAGTAGTAAAAAATACAGACTGTTTTCTCAGAAGTCTCTTGTGTCTCTGGAAATCTTTTCTTTCAATAGTGCAGATGTTGGTGACTATGAATGTGTTGTTGCTAATGAAGTTGGGAAGTGTGGCTGCAGTGCGACACACTTACTAAAAGGTTAGTGTTGTGAAAAACTGGTATCTCTCTAATAAGTTGCCCAAACAGCTTTCTTAACCCCTGCAAGGAAAGCTGGTACTTTCCCCAATTCTCTTCCCCTGTCCTTTAAATTTTGTTTTGTCTTGGATTGACCAGGAGCAAGGGAAGCAAAGTTAGTGGCTTTCACCTAATGTTTATCCTGATACCAGTGTAAATGTTTATCATTTGCTAACAAAAGGGAATATAGCATAAGGTATTCTTCCAGCTGATAAGCATTTATCTTCTATGCCTCTGTCTCTTGGATGGAACTGTTAATTCTTCTTGCATTTTCTTTCTTCTTTCTAATTAACCAGTGCTATGAAGTAGTAGGATCAGACAAGATAAATGTAATCTTGGTAAAATTCTTAAATAAGACAGTGTTGACAGTGTGTGGAATTGATAAGCTTTGTATGCTCTCTTTTTTAACTAGAACCACCAACCTTTGTCAAGAAAGTAGATGATTTTACAGCGCTTGCAGGACAAACTGTGACTTTACAAGCTGCTGTGAGAGGGTCAGAACCCATTTCTGTTACATGGATGAAAGGCCAAGAGATCATTAAAGAAGATGGAAAAATCAAAATGAGCTTTTCCAACGGTGTTGCCATCTTGATAATCCCCGAGGTTCAGATCAGTTTGGGTGGCAGATACACATGTCTGGCTGAAAATGAAGCTGGAAGTCAAACATCTGTTGGAGAATTAATAGTTAAAGGTTCGTGTAGGAGCATTTTAACTTGAATTACCCTTTCCATTTAAATGGAAAGCCCAATTCACACTTAAGAATCCTAACTATTTAATACCATTGTAGAACCTGCGAAAATTATTGAGCGAGCAGAGCTGATCCAGGTGACAGCAGGGGACCCAGCCACGCTGGAGTACACAGTCACAGGCACCCCAGAACTCAAGACCAAATGGTACAAAGATGGGAGACCCTTGGTTGCCAGTAAAAAGTATCGAATAAGTTTCAAAAACAATGTCGCCCAACTCAAATTTTATTCAGCTGAGCTACATGATAGCGGCCAGTACACATTTGAGGTTTCCAATGAAGTGGGCAGCAGTTCCTGCGAGACTACATTCACTGTTTTAGGTTAGTATTTTTAGAAAACTATGCTACATATTTCCTTCAAACCCAACAACTGGCCACAGCGAACCACTGAGCACTTTCCATGTTGATCTTTACTCTTTGTTTACCATGAACAGATCGAGACATCGCTCCATTCTTTACCAAACCCTTACGCAATGTGGATAGTGTTGTGAGCGGTACCTGCAGGCTAGACTGCAAAATCGCTGGCTCCCTGCCCATGAGGGTGTCCTGGTTTAAGGATGGTAAAGAAATAGCTGCTTCGGACAGAT